AAAGTGACTAGGTAAAAAATATACTATCTGTTGTTATACTTTATGATTTGTGGGTGGTGGTACTAGAATTTTTATGTAAAGATTTTTTAAAAAATTATTATCCAGTTGAAACTTAAAACAAGAGATGTTAGCATTCTTTTTTGCTGGATAATTTTTACTTAGCTCTGGTTTAATTTCTAGTTAAGTTATATTGGTTTTTCGAATATTTTTTATACATACACAAAAGAAGCAGAATCATTCTTTGTGTGTCTGTAGCCACCATTCAAGTGAATTGTAATCTACATTAATTATGAGCCAAATACATGATTTTAAATAATGTAGATCATCGTTTTACATTGTGTAGCTATAAATGTATTCATAAAATAAAGGAAAATATTCTGGAAAAAAAAATAAAAATAAACACTGACTTTATAATCATTCAAAGTACATATACATTTTTGGGGGACACCGTGTGTGTGTGTGTGTGTGTGTGTGTGTGTGTGTGTGTGTCTGTGTGCCGTGTGCAATGAAATCTTTATTTTCCGTATTTGCTAATAAACTTTTTAAGGTAGTCTCTCTGATGAAAATAATAATACTAGATTAACAACAGAATATCACCAGCATTGCCGATGAACTGCTATACAGCAGATCCTCAAGTAACTTTGTTTTGTTCAATGTCATCTATAGATATATAAAAGCCAAGCAACCAAACAACGGGAACAACTAAAAAGACCGGTTGCTATGATGTGCACCGCAGCGGCCAACCAGACCGATCGGGGCCCTGATCATCACCCCCAACCACCTGCAGCCAGTCCCCGCATCCTGCCCAGCCCTGATCGGCCCCCATTGGGATGGGACGGCCAGACCTTACACATGCACGAATTCGTGCACCGGGGCTCTGCGTTCATTATAATGTTGATGAGACAAAAAAAAAAAAATTTGATTCCCAGCTGGGGCCACTGTCTGTGTGGAGTTTGCACATTCTCGCCGTTTGTGCGGGTTTTCTCCAGGTAATCCAGTTCCCTCCTAAATCCCAAAGATGTGTATGCAGGTTAAATGAATTGGTGTGTCTAAACTATCCAAGTCTGAGTAAGTGTGGGGTGGGAGTGAGCGTGCCCAGCATGGAAGGGCATCTTGTCAGAGTGGGTTCCTGCCTTGTGCTCTGAGCTGCTGGAATAGTTTTCCAGCCATCCCCAACTCTGAGCTGAAATACTCGGGTTGGAAAATAATTATCTTACTTGTTTTTTATTAATCTTTCTTAAATGTATGCATAGCTCACATTTATTTCAATGTGTAATATTAGAAATGTTTTGGATCTTTATTTACAAGTTTGGTGATGTTTTTGTGACCAGAACTATGCCATAGGAGCTTAACTCTTGTCGTATCAATTAGCCTATTGTAAAATTAGTTTCATTATATATAGTTTCACTAAAGCCAGTTTTAAGAACCTATTAATGAAGTGAAGACTTACTGTAGCTTGAATTCTTCCACCTACACTCTGCCATTCTAAACTCTGATTTCCAATTTAAAAACAAATGTTACCTAACTATAATGACAGACTATAAAAATCCATGGAAGAAAAAGAGTTCTTTAAATAGTTGCTGCCATTAGTTATCAGAAAATTAAAAACTGCCAAACCTTAAAAAGCAAATCATGAATCTCAGAATGGGGAAGAAAAAAGGACTGCTGACAGCTATTTCAGAGTGCCTTAATCCTTTCTTCCATATAGGTAAAAGTGAGCTCAATAACCTCTAAATTTGCAAAACCTTTCCAAGAAATTGTCTTCTTGTTTCCTATTTTGCAAATGTTAAAATCATATCATAGTACATGCATATTTCTTTAATGTGTTAAAGGAAAATAAACTTACCTAAAGTCTGCAGAATTATGCTTTCTAATATCACCAGATCTTGAACTTGTTGCAGGTAAGCCTGCAGGTGAGAAGACACATAAGGTACAATATACTAATGTAAAGTGTAAACAATTCTAACACCCCTCCCAGAGAAACCAAAGCCACAAAAGGCAGGGGTGGAGTTATGAGATGGAGTAGGAACTGAAATTAATCTTTATCCCTATACAGTACAGATTCTCCTTTTAAAACAAAAAAAGGAGTATACTGAGAGAAAACATTTTATTCATAAATAGCTACAGAAAAAGCACCTGAGATTTTGTTCATTTTCAGAATGACATTTTAGGTTTTATAGTTCATTTGATATAGCTACAAGAAAATTAAAAATACATCGTCTTCAACATCATCAGAATACATTTCCAGAGCCTTCCTATAGGCCAGTGGTTCTCAACCTTGGCTGCACATAAGAATCACCTGGGAATCTTTTAAAAATCCTGATTTCTGGGCCTCATCCTCCAGGAATTCTGTCTCTTTGTTATGGGGTGAGGCCACAACATCAGTAACAAAGAAACAGAATTTCCAGAGGATGAGGCGCAGAAATCAGGATTTTAAAAAGATTCCCAAGTGATTCTAATGTGCAGTCAAGGTTGAGAATCACTGCATAGGCCAGTGATGGCAAACCTATG